ACACACACACACACACACACACACACACACACACACACACACACACACACAAATTCACCGGTAAACATGGTAAACAGACAGGAGACAGGGGCGGAGGAGAAGAGGCAAAGAGAGAGAAAGAAAAGCAAATGTTAGTTAGTTAGCATCACAGGTTTTCCTTACCTTCCCCAGCAGTCTGCCCCGCAGGTAGGTGGTGTCAGTGGTACTGTCGTAGATGATGTGGGTGTTGTCGAAGTGTTGCTGAATGTCCGGCGTGTGGCCGTTGATGTCTGGCGTACTCCTTACGGCATCGGACCCGGCCGTCTGCGGCTTGAGCTGCTGCTGCTTCTGCTGCTGCGACTGCAGCTGCATGTGATAGTGGATGCCCATGGCGCTGGACTTGCTGCTGCTGCGAGTGCTGACAGCTGTGGTGGAGGGCCGAAGCTGCTCCTTCATGACGGCGGGCGCGGTCGAGGGCAGGGCGGAAGCGGGTTTGGGCACCAGTACCTCTACGGACATCTGAAGGGCAGAGCGACGGGTCAAGGACGCGGTGGCCTTAACCCGATGTCGGAGGTCAGCGTCGCCAGCGGCGTCGACCAGGGATGATGAGGTTTAGAAGACAGCAACGCTGGCCGACAGGGGCGTCACAGAAGGTTTCGCGGGAAACCTTAAGGCTGTAGATTCGATGTCACGGGCGTGTAGTTGGTTCGAGCGGCGCCACACAGGGTGGTATCCGTCGCTGAATCCGGGGACTGGTACACGTCACGAGAGGCAGAGAGCGTCGGCAACCTCGGGGTGTTGTCGACGTCTTCGCGGTCCGAACGCGTGGTCTGCGCCAGGGTTCCAGTCAATGACGTCACAGGTGGGATCAATCCTGAGTTATTACTGACACTTGGAGCAGTTTTGCCAGGTCGTAGCAGTTTCCGGGGTATTTATGCACTCTTCGTCACTTCTGGAAAAGAAAAAGTAAAATAAGATTGTTAAAGAGTCCGTCTGTTTGAGCTTAGGTGAAGCGTGAAGTGGCATGACTAAGGTCAATAAGTACGAGACAGCGGCCTCCCTCATGTGTGTGTGTGTGTGTGTGT